TTCGACTATTTGGTCTATTGTAGTAATATTGTGACGAATTTTGTGTATTTCTTCGTTCTGGCGATCTTCCTCTATAACTTGAGTTATATGGGGATTGATTTCTTGTATAACTTGTATTGTTCGGAAGTGGTTTTCCGGAACTATTGTTGCTGTATACATTTTTGTTTGGTAGATTTTGATCTTTCTTCATATATTGATAGAATGACTTATTTGGTTCTTTGTATTTTTGAGGTTTATTTTGACTATCTTGCTGTTTTTGTCTACATTCAGAAATACTATGTCCGTATCGTCGGCAATAATTACACCATTTTTTGAAAGATGGTTTGCCTTTAAAGTTTGGGTTCTTTTCGTAAATATTGAGTATTTCAGTGATTTTTTCAACGAGGTCTGTGTCTGATTCCTGTATATTATTAATATTAGTGGGAGTCGTTTCAATTCTGTTAACGTATTGTAATTTCAGATTTTCCGTTTCTTCTAGTTTCATCGTGATTTCTGCTTGTTCTAATTTGTCTACTAGTTTTCGAAAATCTAAATCGGGTTCTCGAATTGAAGAAGGATGAGATGCTCTCTTTTTTATTGCTATTTTTCTTAATTGTGGTGTTAAGGTCATCATTAAGATTTCTGTCATCTTTGTATTTTTATAGTCGTGTGTATTTAGTGAATATGCTTTTCGAACTAGTGTTTCGATTCGTACTGCTAATTGCTTGATGGTTTCGTTTGGTAATCTGCGAATTTCATTACATAAAACTCTTTGTTGTTGTTTGTTTCTTTCGGAGTCAAACATTTTGAAAATTCCTGTGTAAACCTTTTCCAATTTGATTTTATTTCTGGAGGTAATACTGAAAACCATTTTTGGGCTGCGCCATCTAAGGTTGTTTGTATTAACGCTGTGCGTCGATGTATCCAGTTTTGATGTAGTGGCGTATTAATTGGTTCAGGTCCAATGTTTAAAATCAAGTTTGCTGTTACTGCATTTAAATAATCTTCTACAGAGTATTCAGGGTCTGTTCCTGTGAAAACCATTAAAGGTTTGTTTGATGTTATTGATGATCCACCCATAAGGTATGGATTCATTGTCATTTGTAATGATTCTGCTGCATTTGGCATTTGAGAAAAATTTGAAAGTTGGTTTCTTGTTATTTCATGTTGTTGAAGATAATATGGGAGTGGTATTTCATTTTGCATTTGTGTTGGTTGATACGAGTGTGCAATCATTGGATTTTGTTGTTGAATTGGTTGAAAAGATTGTATATTAATTGGATTTTGTTGCTGAATTGGTTGTTGATGTTGTGTATCTATCGGTTGTGGAGAAAAAATTCTATGATTTGTGTGTGGTTTCTGTGCTCCTTGTCCACGATATTCTTGAGTATATGGTGCAAATATATCTGGTTGTAAGAAATCATCATCTGAGGATAAATAATCCATTTGATAAGATGTCTGTTTTTTATTTTTATTTTGTTGAAAAAATGGGTAATTTTCACTGCGATCCTGTGGAGGATTTGTTTGGAAATTTACTGAATTAGATTGGGCCATTGGGTTATCCCAATTTCGAGATCTTGTATATTGGTTAAAATTTCTTCGTGGTTGATAATTTGTTTTTGATGGATGTGTATAATTATAATTATGGTCTGCAAAGTTGTTTCTAGTGAATGTTTTGCGTGTTTTTGGTGGTATTGTCATGGGTCTGTATGTTTGGTAATCCATGTGTGAATATTTAGGGGCAACCGAATGTTTAACGGTTGATTGTAAGGTTACCTGTGTTTGTGAAGGATTTGTGTTTCTTGGTGTTGTTAAGTTTGGACGTATTGGTGAAATACTTTGTTGTGTAGTTGTTGTGTGTACAATTTCTTCATTTATGAAGTGTGATGGTGTCTGGATATCTTGTTGAGTAAGATTCCTAGTTCCATTGAGGTTTTCATTGTGTATGACTGTAGAGTTTAAACTATTATTTTGTGTATCGGGCAAAAATGTATTATAGTTTAATGGTGTTGCATCAATGGTTAATGGTATTACTTTTACATAATCTCTTATGTAAGATATCGTACTTATTGCTTGACTTGAGATTGATTGTGGGAAGCTTATAAATGCGGGATGAGACCATTCGGGGTCCCAAACATAGTCTGATTGTTCTGTGATAGCGGTATCATCGTTCGAGTTTTGTGGTCTAAAATTTTTTCTTGCTTGTGCAATTAAATCAATATTGTGTGTGAAATAATCTATTATGAACCATGCCAAAATTTTTTGTAGATCGTGTTTTGTATGTTGTGAAACTTCGTCTTTCGTGAAATTTTCTTTAATGATGTTTAAATAACTAGAGAGTAGTGTGATCTCATGTCGTACTCTTATATGTTTAGATGTTTCTGTCGGTGAGACATTTGTTATTGGGATTTCATTTTCTAATATCGAGATATAACTATATATTATTGCGAAAACTTCATTGGTGAATATGGAGTTTGCTCTTTGTGAGTTATGATATTGGATGCTTTTTATATATTCTGAAAATACTTTTGAAAATTCTAAATCAAGATCGTCTGTTTGAATTATATATTTACTATGATTATGGTTTGGTGAGGTGAATTCTATGGAGTAGATTCCATACTGTTGTGTTAAGTTACGTATATCTTTTAGATAGTGATCTATGATTTGTCTTTTGATTTTTACATCTGGGAACTCTGTTTTACATGGACTGATTCCGGGTTCAAATAAATTTAAGAGTAAATTTTTGCAAAATATATGCTGTCCTCTATCAGTGGTTGCATCTACTATAAAAGGGAAGATTTCATCATCATCTGGGGTTTCGTCACCTGGGGTGTGCGTTGAGCTCATTTTTTCGTTCGATGACTGTTAATATGTAATTATTAATGTGTCGAATTGGTTGATTCCAATTGTATAAATGTACTGGTTTGTGTTTATACTGCTTTTTTATTCTTCTTTTTCCTCTTTTTGATGAATTTGAAGTTGTTTCTGAGTCAGAGAAATATAATTGATCGTGAAGTGGGCAATTTTTATCTATTGATTCTTTTAGTTTGTAAAGTTCGTCTAAACTGTTGGTTTCTGATTCTGAAAATGCGTTTCGGTTTTTTGAAAATCTTTTTCGTGTTATTTGTCTTTGTTTAGTTATTATTTTTCTTTTTAGTGTTTGTCGTTTTGTTCGAATGTATCCAACTGTTTGTGTATGAGGTGTGATTACAAGGTCGTATTTTTTGTTATCTATTTCACAATTGTGTAAAACGATTGTTTGTTTATTTCCTAGGTTTTTAAATGACATAAGGTTTAGGATGACGGATGCAAAAGGTTGTTAAGTGAATTCTAATTGCTTAAACTGTTAGTCCTTACGATTTTTTGGTTAGCTTAACCTGGGTCTATTTGTTCAGGGTTGGAGAGAAAAGTATATCTATTCCGGAGAATGATTTTTACTTTCTCGTGACTAGTATAAGCTAAGGTGTTAACTTACTTAATCTTACTTAGGGGTAGTGATTGTGTTCAAGGGTTGGAGAATAGTAAATCGATCCACAAGGTTCAGGTATAATTAGAACGCGAGTAGTTCGTTAGATACTATTTTAAACTTACTAAGTCTAAGATTTATCCTGGGTCTGGTAAGAGGGGGGAGTTAAGTGAAGGATGAATAACCGAAGTTCTTCACTGTTTATCCTAATTTGAATGATTAGTTTTGTTTAAAAATTTCTATTAGTCTTGGGTCTTTAGAAAGGGTTGGATAGCGAATCGACGTTTGAGGTCGTTAGACACTAGTTAAGTGGGTGGGGGAGAACAAAATTGTTCTTTTTGATCCAAGGATAGGCCTTGATGATCAAGTTCGAAATTTAATTAACTAGAAAATGATTTAAGATCCAAGGATAAGCCTTGATGATCTGATTTTAAAATTAAGTGAATTTAAGTTTTAATAAAGATTGAAATTTATTGTAAAGAAAAGATTTATTGTTTTGATGATATTAGTGAGCTTATGAATGCTGTTATGTTTTAGGTGATGAAGCTGGGGCAACAGAATGATTTATGATTACTAACCATTTATTGTCATGCTACTAATTTTTATTTTTGTTTTACAATAAATATTTTTCAAACATGTTTTGTATATTACTGCAGAGTTTAGGAAAACGATCTGAGATCTTTTTATCAATCGTTATTGTATATTAATAATTTTGTTTAGCGCCTGAAATGATTTTGAAGATTAACTTCAAGGTTTTATGTTTGCAAATGAAAATCTAAATTCATTGCCAGTAGTATTCTAAATATAAAAGTTTGTTCTGGTTTTTGCTTAACTATCATATAACTATATGGCAAGTTTCTACTTTGTCGTAAGTCGTCTCTGGTTCGAGGTCTTCTTCCAATTCCGGGTAGTTCTGTTATGGTTCGGAATATTGGCTTTGATCTATTGAGTCGTAGAGACATTTCGATTAAATTATTGTCGTATAACATTTTGTAAATGTTTTTGTCTAATTTCTAATCTATTTTGGTTAATTCTAAGCTATTAAGGTCTTGTTCGAGACTTATGGTCGCACCAGATGAGTTAGGACCGATGGGTATAACTCATAGAGTAATTTCGGATAGGGTACACCGTCTGCTCGTCACGCTATCTCATTTTCGGCCGGATAGATTCGTGCAACTTCTTAGTCTAATACCGATCCTAATCTTACTCTTATACTATCTAGTCTCAGGTTGTTTAACTAGTCTCTGCTAGGCTCAATAGATCTAGGGTATACTGGTTTATTGCGGCTGCTGAAGTGCTCGGGAGAGTTCAACTAATTTCTAAGTTAAATTCGAATCTCTCTGGTGCTGAAATTACAAGTAATTTCAGCACTTACAAATAAGTGGGTTGTTAGTTATATGGATCATGATTGGTTAATATTAAATACTTTACATTGGTAAAATATCTAATTTATCCAATCATAAAATGTAGTTTAGATCAGGTTCCAATATAGAAAAAGAGATCGATCGAAATATTGTAGATATGTCGGTTGATACATGCTTGGTGTGTATTTTAGCCACTGGAAATGTGAACTCATTGTTCCGACTGAGCCGACAAACAATTCAGCCGCAAGGCGAAGAAGACACTGTCTGGATTGAATACGCGGGAGACGAATCACAGACCTTATCCCAGGACTCCTATTCTCTAACTGTCGAACTGTCAGATTTAGCGAACAATAGGAGGAGCTATGACGTAATCATATCCGTGGGAGATCCGGTGTTGCAGGTGCTGCCAATTCCAGAGATCTTGCACATTGCCGAAGAGGAACCTTCCGGAACTTTGTAAGCAAAAAATCTCGAATACCATGCAACTTCAGTTAAAATACGTAAAGCATACGATAGTGCAACCAACTAATTTCTCGAAGTTGCTTTTATCCAAAAGTTCTAAATTAGAGGAAACGAGCATTAAAATATTGCGCAAGCGAGGGTATAAGCTGGCGTCCCCCGTCGTATTCTAATTTTATTTTGTTTTGAGAGTCGATAAACGTAGTTTAGACTCTTAAATAGGTCGCGATGATTTTTTTATGTAGTCCTAAAATTTGTTCAGCTCAATTTCATTTTTTTCGCTGTTTGACTTTAATTTTTTTTTGAAGTTCTTGTTAAACGAAAAGCAAACTCCACTATCGAAGAGCGAAAGTATAAAGATCACAAAAAACTTGATCAAAATCTAGTTTCGAAAGTGGAATTTATTTTCAGATTTTCCAGCAAATGAAAAAATAACCCATTGATCCAGTTTTCTCAAATTGGGTTGAGTTTTTTTCAAAAAACAATTTGATTTTTTTTTCAAAAAAAAACAAGTCGGTATTTTTTTTTGTTCATTTACAGTCGAATCTTTTCCAACTGTCTTTTGGCTATGTTTTTTGCCGTTTGATCAATGAAAAAATTTTATTTTAAGGATTTATCGAGTGAGAGTTGTGACGGGTGGCATCGAATCAAGTCCAACTTTTGCGTTTACTTCCAATGGAAACGGAGACGAGTTCTCGTTCAAGTCATTTTATGGTGAAATCTACACCAACAAAGTGTTCGACCTAGATGTTACGCCAGCTGTCCAAAGCGACTTCGAGATTCGAGTTGTAGTAACTGCTGGTGAACAAACAGAGACTAGGACCTTTCGGATACAAATAGTCGATATAAACGACCACGCACCCATTTTCTCACCGAGTCTGTACACTGCGACTATAAGCGAAGACAGATCCTCAACATCGGCCATTGTTTTCAACAATGGAGCAAACGCAAGATGTTAGTTTTGAGCTAACTGATTTTAAATTTTATAATTGCGCTAAGAGGGATCTTGATGAAACTTTTAGAAAGTTCTGTCTTATATTGCCTGCTTTCCATCTTCGAATCTGTAACAGAAATTGAAACAACAAAAACAATGTTTGGTTTTAGTGCTTGCTACTGACGCTGATAGAACCAGTCCGAACAACGAAGTCTACTTCATCATCAACTCGGATGCCCCCTTCATCATCAACGAGATAACAGGAGAAATATTCCCAAATGGGGTAGACTTCGAGGCGACTGTAGACCGACCGTTAGACCCCTTCACTGTTATTGCACGAGACAAGGGACTGGATGGTTTGATCCGCGAGGACATAGCGACAGTTGATATAAGAGTCTTAAACGTCAACGATGAAGCGCCTATATTTGAAGTAAGTTTTCTACTTCAGCTACCTTCTAACAGAGAAACTTGTCTCCAGACCGAAAATTGAAAGCCAAATTTACCGAAATAAAAATGCAAATTTCAAAACTACAACTTGATTTTATAATTCTTTTGGATTTTAAAATTCCAGACGTTGGATTAGTGCAGCAGTCGCAACTTTTCGTTTTAGGCGGAAATGTCAAATGGCAGCTGCCTGTACGAATTCACAGTGGGTCAAACGATCGGTAATGGGTTCCAGATTGGCAGTGTCAGTGCATATGATCCGGACGGAAACTCCATCACGTACAGTATCGAATCAGACAATTCAGCGCCTCCATTTGAGTTCAGAGAGACATCAATTGGTGAGCCCCAGAAATATTTGAATTCAACTTTATTTTCGACTTCATATTTTTTCGAAAATGTTTGAGAGGTTTTGCTTAAGCTTTTTATAACGGAGACCAAGTGAATGGTGTCACCGTGATATGATATAGATAGAAAGGTTGAAATGAGCTAAAAATTGAAAAATTTTATGACGGTTTTTCAGTTCATTCCCGAATTAAAGTCTCAAGTCTTAAACAAATTGTATTTTTTAGTTCAGACTTCCTTAGTTTGTTCTGAACATAAAAAAGAATAATCAGTCTTTTGCATGATGCTGCAAAGAGCTAATTACATTTTTGGAGCAAAATTCTGTCGTGATTAATTTTCTCCCTGTTTAGCAAGTGTTTTCATCTTTCTTTTCAGGAATTCTTGTGCGAACCGATCAGCCTAATAGCAACGGACTGTACGAACTTACCCAGGAGCTGTACCAGTTTAGAGTAGTGGCCCAGGAGAGTGTTCAAGCAAGCCAGGGAGCAACTAATATCAAAACTTGTGATGTCCAAGTTCACGTGGAAAGCGCCAATCTCAATTCACCTGAGTTTGAAAACTGCCCAAATGGTGTGGCGAGATTTTCAGTTAATGAAAATTCAGCAATCGGAACCTTTGTCGGAAATGTGAGAGCAGAATTTTAGTTGGCAATTTAAATTGTGGGAAGGGAGCGCGCCGAAAACAAAGCGATTTTTTGGACAAAATGTTCAAAAACGTGCCTTTCTAAAAATGCTTTTCAAGTGTGTCTGCGGCTCAGAACATTTGGTCATACTAGAGTCATTATTGTGATTCGAGAACTCATTAATTAAATTGTGTTGATCTTAAAAAGGTCGGCAAAATTTTTCGAACTTTTTTTGAAATTCACCCCCCCCCCCTTCCCTTGAGAAAAGCCTAGATCCCCCCTGAGTTCATAATTTTTTTGTGATTTAAACGATTCAGACATCACTTTCATTTCATAACTTAACTAGCTGTGGACTATGTTCAAAAGAATTCAATTGCAGACAGAAGGGAATAATTCATTGGCTCGAAAAAAACGAACTAATTGTTTGTTGAGACAGAACTATTCTCATTTTAGCTGAACGCACAAGACAGAGATATCGGGCAGAGTGGACGAATTAATTTCTTGGCACAAGAAAACGAAGAGTGGTTTGCGGTCACTCGGTCTCTTGTCTCGGGATCAAGCACAGAAGCAGTCGGACGAATTACAGTTAAATCTGACAACTTGGATGCTGAAACCTCAACAGAGCACTGCTTCTTCGCCTTGGCGAGGGATGGGTACAGTGATCCTGATGACGGACTGTCTTCAATTCAGTACAAACAGACTGCCTGCAAAGTTTGCGTGACTGTGAACAACCTTCAAGATACACCACCACTGTTCTTCAACCGGGAACCAATTAATGGTATGTTTTTGACTGCTGCTGAGCGTTCTGTAAACGCAAGTTCAAAGAACGCTCAGTACTAATTCAGGTTTTCGTACAATAAACGTAAAAAGAGACTAGAGAAGTAGTGACTTAAAATCTAAATGTGGCATTGTGGCGTTCCCGTAGTGATAGTGCCCAGCAATTTCAATAGCACGGGTTTAAATCGCACGAGTCCAGACCTTTGCGCATTTTGCGTGTAAGTATTCAAAAGGCAACTAAAAATTTAGAAAGTGAATAGTTTTTTTTTCTATTGACCACTGAAAACTGGATGAGGGATCTCTGGCATCGGTATGTATCTGTTTTATCCGCGCAAATGTAGGATACACAATAAATGTCAGATGGGGTCGACTAGTGCATCATTTACAGTATGAAGTATACACAAAAAAGCATTTCGATCAAACAGATTCGATAAGCTTATCTAGATTTTTCTGCACTTCCTCGCAGCCGCTATGAAGAGTACAGTAGAATTCTTTTTTTTTGCGTAGTAATGCATTGATAAGTTGAGGTAGTTTGCACTAATTGAATTTTAATTCGCCGGATTAGTTCTCCGCATACCTGTTAACAGAAGGATATATACCGCTTTTTAACCCAACAAAACTGCTCGTATCAGGGTGAGGCCTTAAATGTTTTGAATTGAAATTGGAACTATTTATTTTGCCGCTTACGCTTTAATAACCCAAATTGTATTGCGCGTTACTCCCAAAATGGCAGTGTTTGAACTCCCATAACTTTAACAAAAAATCACAGGTAAAATGTTTTTTTTTTTAAAGTTTGGGCGAATGACATTAGTATCTTTCAGATTATACAAAAAAAGTTTTTTCATCAAAAGGCTAGTTCAAAAGTTAAAAATGGTCTGGAGAAAAAAGTCGAATAGGTTTGGAGAAAAACCAACCCTTGCACAACTTTTTTTTACATTTTCTCCGAAAGTTGGAACAATAAACTCTAACAAATAGGTCATCGGTGAAAAATTATTCCTAGGTGTCTCCCAGGGCAGTGCCATTTTTCAGACAAATAAAATTTCAAAAGACGAGAAAAATATCAGAAAAAGTGTTGAGGTTATATGAGTTTTTTTTGCCAGCTTTTCCCCATTTTTCCCAACTTTAGTGTTTTTTTTTACTGTTTATGTACTTTGTTTATAATCAGCCCTAATTTAGAAAAAATTTTGATAGCATTGACAAAAAATTGACAATTTGTTATCAATTGAAAAATTTTGATGTCTTTAGCTCAAAATTATTTAGATGCTTTACTTTACCTGTGACCATTTTTAAAGTTGAATTGAAATTGATAATTGTCAATTTTACCAATTGGGAGTAGTAAATGAGCGCTATTTACCAGAAATTTTTGTTAAAGTACAACGTGGGCGGCGAATGAATCTGGCATAGAGATGAATCCAAGTTTAAATGAATAGAGCTATTTGATGTTCTTAATCCTTTATTATTATTGTTCCGACTTTCGAAGAAAGTGCGGAAATTTTATGCAGGGGTGATTTTTTATTCAGTTTGTTTTTTACTTTTAGTTAGCATTTTTTGCATTTTTTGGCATGGCAAACTTTTTTGTACCATCTGAATTTTTTTCTGAGCTCAAATTTAAAGCGAAGTTTCACTTGTGAAAGTTTGTCGTAAAGTTAAGGGTGATCGAAATTTGCTGATTTGACCAATTTGGGATAACCAACTGTTGATTTCCAATCTTATAACAGTTCCAGGTGGCGGAAAAATGCGTTCCAAGTTGAATTGACGCAAGTCATTTGGTCGTATCATTAAGATACAAGACGCTAAATACATCCCGGGTTTCAATATTTTTAAAGTTTGACCATTTTTAAAGTTGAATTGAAATTGATAAATTTCAATAGCACGGGTTTAAATCGCACGAGTCCAGACCTTTGCGCATTTTGCGTGTAAGTATTCAAAAGGCAACTAAAAATTTAGAAAGTGAATAGTTTTTTTTTCTATTGACCACTGAAAACTGGATGAGGGATCTCTGGCATCGGTATGTATCTGTTTTATCCGCGCAAATGTAGGATACACAATAAATGTCAGATGGGGTCGACTAGTGCATCATTTACAGTATGAAGTATACACAAAAAAGCATTTCGATCAAACAGATTCGATAAGCTTATCTAGATTTTTCTGCACTTCCTCGCAGCCGCTATGAAGAGTACAGTAGAATTCTTTTTTTTTGCGTAGTAATGCATTGATAAGTTGAGGTAGTTTGCACTAATTGAATTTTAATTAGCCGGATTAGTTCTCCGCATACCTGTTAACAGAAGGATATATACCGCTTTTTAACCCAACAAAACTGCTCGTATCAGGGTGAGGCCTTAAATGTTTTGAATTGAAATTGGAACTATTTATTTTGCCGCTTACGCTTTAATAACCCAAATTGTATTGCGCGTTACTCCCAAAATGGCAGTGTTTGAACTCCCATAACTTTAACAAAAAATCACAGGTAAAATGTTTTTTTTTTTAAAGTTTGGGCGAATGACATTAGTATCTTTCAGATTATACAAAAAAAGTTTTTTCATCAAAAGGCTAGTTCAAAAGTTAAAAATGGTCTGGAGAAAAAAGTCGAATAGGTTTGGAGAAAAACCAACCCTTGCACAACTTTTTTTTACATTTTCTCCGAAAGTTGGAACAATAAACTCTAACAAATAGGTCATCGGTGAAAAATTATTCCTAGGTGTCTCCCAGGGCAGTGCCATTTTTCAGACAAATAAAATTTCAAAAGACGAGAAAAATATCAGAAAAAGTGTTGAGGTTATATGAGTTTTTTTTGCCAGCTTTTCCCCATTTTTCCCAACTTTAGTGTTTTTTTTTTACTGTTTATGTACTTTGTTTATAATCAGCCCTAATTTAGAAAAAATTTTGATAGCATTGACAAAAAATTGACAATTTGTTATCAATTGAAAAATTTTGATGTCTTTAGCTCAAAATTATTTAGATGCTTTACTTTACCTGTGACCATTTTTAAAGTTGAATTGAAATTGATAATTGTCAATTTTACCAATTGGGAGTAGTAAATGAGCGCTATTTACCAGAAATTTTTGTTAAAGTACAACGTGGGCGGCGAATGAATCTGGCATAGAGATGAATCCAAGTTTAAATGAATAGAGCTATTTGATGTTCTTAATCCTTTATTATTATTGTTCCGACTTTCGAAGAAAGTGCGGAAATTTTATGCAGGGGTGATTTTTTATTCAGTTTGTTTTTTACTTTTAGTTAGCATTTTTTGCATTTTTTGGCATGGCAAACTTTTTTGTACCATCTGAATTTTTTTCTGAGCTCAAATTTAAAGCGAAGTTTCACTTGTGAAAGTTTGTCGTAAAGTTAAGGGTGATCGAAATTTGCTGATTTGACCAATTTGGGATAACCAACTGTTGATTTCCAATCTTATAACAGTTCCAGGTGGCGGAAAAATGCGTTCCAAGTTGAATTGACGCAAGTCATTTGGTCGTATCATTAAGATACAAGACGCTAAATACATCCCTTTTTAGTTAACATTAGTGTGTGGGGTATAAATAAAAAACCTTTTTCTTTTTTATCGATTATTTTGTCATTTGTTTAATCAAAAATTGTTTTAAATTGGCCTCAATTTGCAATCGGAACATTCAGGACTTCCTCTTGAAATATGAGCAGTCTTGTTTACAGTCGAATATTGAGGTCTTTCAGACAAATAACCTTCAAACCATCTGGAATATTTTCCACGTACTCCATAGCGTTCGAGCTTCCTACGTATCAAAGCCTTTTTCAAATCAACAAAAAATTACTTTTAAATTTTCTATCATCATTAAATTACGTTCACCGAGCAAAATACTCGTTACTGGGTTTATATGTTTTTACTGCCATCAACTGAACACAGGAACTGAGCTAAAATGCGCTACTAAAGATAACAAGACTGCTCGTATCAGGGCGGAGCCCTGAATGTTCCTACTACCTTTAAGGTTTATGGAGCAGCAGTAATAACATTAAAAAAATTAATTGAAATAAATTAAAACGAATTTTTTTTCCTAAAATTTGAAATTTTTTTACGAAAATCATCCCCCCACACGCCATATAAAGTACAAGAGATTTCGTTGATATTTTTTCAGAAATCCATTTTTGGCCGACCGACCCTAAAGTTTTTGTAAAGGCGCCTTCGGCGCCAATAAATACTAACTTTGAGGGGGAGCGCGCGCCAAAAAAAATCGCGATTTTTTTGTCAAAATTTTTCAAAAAGTGCCCAAAAACGGCTTTTTTGACTGTTTTTTCAAAAATTTTCCTGCGGCGCAGAAACTTTTGCCAAAATATGGGCAAAACAGTGCTTTGGGAGAGCTCGAAAAATCAATTTGGTCGACCTAAAAAAAAAAAATTCCGCCCTCTCTCGAGAAAATCCTAGATCCGCCCCTGATCACAGATAAAATATTTTTTCAAATTTAGGCTGGGGACAACAATACCTTTTGAATGATATAAAAAAATTCCGTCAAAAATGGCTAGTTATAAAGTCGAAATTTGTCTGAAGAAAAAAAACCCACCCCGAGCACAAATTTTCCGTTACTTTCTTATCGAAAGTCGGAACAATAAAATTGCATACTCGAGGTACATTACAAACATTTGCTTGTCGAATACTTTTTCTTCAGTCGTGTTCTGTTCTTCGCTGTATAATTGTTTCGACTTTTGATACGAAAGTAACGGAATATTTGTGCTCGGGGTGGGTTTTTTTTCTTCAGACAAATTTCGACTTTTTAACTAGCCATTTTTGATGGAATTTCATATTATTCGAAAAGTAGTGTTGTCTTGAGCTCAAATTTGAAAAGATATTTTACCTGTGACTATTTTTCGTAAAGTTACGGGGGTTTAAAGATTGCCATTTTGGCCAATTTGGGACAATTAACGCGCGATTTATTTCGCACTATTAACACGTAAGTGGAGAGTTAATCCCTCTTAGAAATTGTTCCAAATTGGTTGAAAGAAGCTTATTTGCCATAATTGATTTTTTACAAGAAGCGAATTCTATCCTTTTGTACTTCATATGTTGTGTGGAGGGATGATTTTCATTAAAAAATTTCAAATTTTAGAAATATTTTTTTCATTTTGTTTTATTTCATTCATTTTTTTAAATGTTATTGCTGCTCGATATACCTAAAAAGGCAGTCAGAACTTTCAGGGCTTTGCCCTGATACGAGCAGTCTTGTTCATTTTTCATAATATTTTTTTTCAAACCAAGGTGCTGGAATTTGTTTGTTAAAAAACCATTGAGACTATGTGCCTTGCTCCATATAGAAAAAATATATAAAGGTTTTAGCAAAAATTTTAAAAAAATGTTTTTCCTTGGTCGGAAACTATTGTGATATTAGTGCAGCAACGGATTATTTGCAGCGGATTGTTCGTTTTAGTTGAAGTGGCGTCATCTGAGCTCGACGCGTTCATTAATATTTTGGCGTATGACCTGGACGATCCTGATGGTGTGATCACATACAGTTTAACTGAAACTGGAGGATATCCCGATAATTTTGAGATTGGCTCGACCACTGGGGAATTGAAGGGAGTCAATCTTAATGAAGTTCTTGGCGTAAGTTTCTATCCCTATCATTTTCCAATGAATAATTACAGGCTAAGAAATTGTTAACTCCTTTTGAATGTTCGTAGCCGCCGGCCGTATAACAAAAATTGGGGCACCACGACTTTGCGTGACTCAAAAAGCTCTGCGCGACTGCGAAATGTTGGTCCCGTTATCCCCCTCGCGCATTTTTCAAGTCATGACTCTCTGCAATTCAATTCGCAAATTTCTGGAATGTGCGTGATCGTCGCAACTTGGCGCGACCCAAAAACCTCTGTGCTACTGCGAGATTTCGGTCGCGCAATCCCCTTTGCATGACTGTAAACGTTCGCGACTCAAGTCACCCAACTCGACACGGAAAATTGGGACAAAGAATTCGAAACAAACAAATTAGACATCACTAATAATTTAAAATTTATTTGTTAGCATTTTACAATTTCCAAACCGCAATTACTTAACAAAAATGATCGCAGGTGAAATTGTTTTATATTTGAGCTACGATTAACTATATATCTCAGAGGGTGTATAAATGTTCCATCAAAATTGCAATCGAAAACGTCGAAAACTGGCTGAATAAAAAACAGCCCAAGCATAAGAATTCCGTTTTCTTCGAAAGTCGGAACAAAAACGAGCAGAACTTGCTGATCGATTCAAGACCTTCTTCAATATGTATCATCAAACAAACTGTTTTGACCTTGTTTGGAATAGGTCTTGTGGGGAAGCACAACGTTTGACTTGCCTACTATATTTCAGGGAGGTGAAAGCAGAGTGGTTGCACTCGAGGTCTCCGCCGTAGACTCCAGTTCCAGCATCAGATCAATTAAAGTCGACGTGAAAGTAGTCCAGGCAGCGGATGGAGGAGTTGCTCCTGAGTTCCTTGATATGACAGACGGACAGTATGTTTTCAACGTACCGGAAAATATAACTAAAGGGTCACTTCTCGAACCCAGCATCGAAGTACAACTTTCTGGAACAGGTGAAAAAATTTGTATTTGGAGTTTCGGATCTTCAAATGACGATTCGGATCGACTATTTGGGTATACAAATCCGAGTCCTACTCAAATCCGGATGTCTCGAATGCAAATAAAAGTTGCTCAACAACTAGATTATGACGATGCAAGTGTCCGTAGGCATACGTTCGAAGTCAAATGTCGGGACTCGACATTGAGTTATTTAGAATCAAACGCGGAAGTAGTGATAAATGTGCTTGACGTGAACGACGAGATCCCATTTTTTTCAGACACATCTAACGTATTCAGCCTTTATGAAGACGCTTCTATTGGTGATGTTGTCGGAAGCGTAACGGCAGCTGATGATGATGGCGGAACTGTTCTCACTTACTCTTTATCTTCAAGTATTAACCCAGATTGGTTTAGAATTGCGACCGAAACGGGTCAAATTGAGGTCAATGGCGTATTAACGCGAAGTCAATGGGTTGGAACCGCACGAGTCAGTGACGGAGCGCCATCGGCTAATAATGATGTTGGAGAACCGAATGAAAATGAAAGAACTGTTTTGATTAACATATACGATGTTAACGATCAGAAACCAGTAGTTGTTCCTCAGGCAGGAAGTGAAACTCAGCCTTTCGAAATCTTGGAGTCTATTGGTGTTAATTTTCCGATCGCGGGTTTCGATGCCGAAGATGAGGACGAGGATCCGGCCCAAAGCTTTACTTTTTCCATCACGGCTGATAGCGGGTTTGTGCCTTTTACAATCAGTAGCCAAGGAGGGCTTCTGAAAGTCAGTGATCAATTGGACGCCGATGGAGATAATGCACAGACGGAGTACAATTTCAATATCCAGGTTAACTTTTTTTGCTTGAAAATAAGCCCGAAGATAACACTTCAGAAACCCGCAATAAACTCACTTTTGCGAAGGTGAAAAAAAAACTTGAAATATAAATAGAAAATAATTTTTTGTAGAAGATCAAAGAAACTAAATTGTTAAATCGAAACAACATCTCGGGCATTTTGCATTAGCTTAAGCAGTGGCAAAACAGTGGTTCTCCATGATGAGAAGAACATTTCATATGTTGGTGTCCTTTCATTTAAACCGTGTACTTAGACAATTTTTGTGAACCGTGTATTCATTGATTTGACAGCTAGCTAAAGAAGTGAATTTAATTGTCTTTGTTTCAGGTATTCGACAACGTTCAAAGTAGCGACCCTTTCCCAATAACAATTCGTGTTATAAACGCCGACGACGAGCCCCCAGTATTTATAAACAGCAACACATTCGGCATCAAGGAGGAAAATGTTTCACAAGTCGGACAAGTTGTGTTCCGAGTCGAGGCAGTAAACGAAGATGCAGTGCCTGGAACTAACTCGGCAGTTGTGTATGGATTGAGTGGGGGATCTGTCGACGACGTCTTCCAGATGAACCCGGAAACAGGGGAAATTACTCTTCTACGAGTGGTGGACCGAGAAGCGTCAGGGGAATCCGAGTTCTTGCTTCTGGTAACCGCAACTGAAGTCGCCAGTAACCTTGCGAACGTAATGGAGTTGAGAGTGACGGTTGAAGATATAAACGACCACGTTCCATACTTCGACGAATCCTCGCTTCGAGTGTTTGTTAATGAAAATTCACCAACTGGAAGTCTAGTAGTGACCGAATTTGCACGTGATGATGATTTTGCTGGGCCACCTTCTTTTTTTGGTTCGATCATGAGCTACTCGATGGTAGATGGAACCTGTGACAATCTCTTCAGTGTTGAACCTGAAGGAGAAATCGTTGTGCAGGATAGTCAACGTTTGGATCGCGAAACGCTAAATTTCCCGTTGTAAGTCAAAAATTCGCTTAGAATTTCGTTGCGTTTTTTTAATAAGTGTTAACTGTTTTCTGCATCTAATAAATGTTTTTTTTTGTGTGTTTATAAAATGTTTTTTTTTTTGGTTTTGCTTCGTTCGCTTTTTGAAATTGATCATTCCTTCTAAGTTTTAAACGGTCGGTTTATCAATTTGAAAATTTGAAATGTTCAGTGACGAGTGTACAATCAAAATTCAAGCCGTGGACGGTGGCGGGCTTTCAGGGAATAACACAATCACCATAATTGTCCAAGATGTAGACGACAATGAACCCCATTTTGCAGAACCAAAACAACGCTTCGCAGAAATTGAGGAAAGCAGTGAATCGAACACAATTATCTACGGAATTGAGGTATCCATAATTTTTTTTCAAACAAGCTTTACTTATTATTTAGGTTGTCTATTTTTTTTTTCATTCTTAAGATTCGATAAACTTAAATGAGTTTTTTCCTTTTTTCAGGAAAAGTCTCAAAATTTGTTCAGACTCAAATTTGATTTTCCGCGGTTTGACTTTCGATTTCTTTTTATTTTCAGACTATTTCCTTTTTTAAAAGGAAGGCAAACTCCACTATCGAAGAGCGAAAGTGTACAGGTGATGAGAAACGTGATTGACTTCTAATTTTGAACATGAAATTTAATAATCAGAAATAAATTTTACTTGTAAATCCCAACGAAATAAATTTTACTTGTAAATCCAGCTTTCTCAAATGGGGTTAATTTTATCAAAAAAGTGCTTGTCTCAATTTGTTCTAGAAATTCAACAAACTTTAAGGCCATCTTTTTTTCTAATCAAAAAAATTTTGTGATTTGATTTTTGTAAGTCTATTGTGCAAATTCATTATTCTAGCCAATCTTAAATTGGATTCTTCGATAGAAATTTTAAAAATGGCCGGTGTATATCTGTTAAAATGGCCCTTCCCAAATTGAAATTGTCGTAAAAGTGAATTAAAATGACCCATGGTGATGGTTTGTTCTTTATTTGAAAACTGTTTCATTAAGTTTAAAACAACGAAGTGATGATCACTTATATAATCTTGACGATTTTTTGTTGTTTTTTTTTTCGGAAAAAAAGTCTAAAAATTTGTTCACGCTCAGCTTTAATTGGTAGCAATTTGACTGGAATTTCTTTCAAGTCTCACTTCGTTTTCTCTGTTAAATGAATAATATTATATAACTTCGTTTCAAGTTGTACAATAATCCAACAATAAAGAAAACTTATCATTGAGAGAGTACCAACTTGAGCAAGCGCAGAAGGTAATTCAGCCTGTTGAAGCGCCGCTGAGAAGTTTCGAACAAGTACTATTTTATATGGACCTGATTGTTTAATCTATGTAACCTTTATCCATAAAAATTGATTATAGAGTAAAAAAAAAGCAAACTGAAATTTCGAATTTAATTAAATTTTTTTCAAGAAAATATACGAGCAAAAAAATATAGCTAAAATACAGTTTTCAAACTTGAAAATTTTATTTTTTTTCCATTTGTTTTAATTCAATTATTACGATGTTTGTTTTTTGGGTGTACGCTTTATGGTTCAATGATTTAAAAAAAAATATCTCAAAAATTTTTTACAAAATTAATTTGTTGAAGTAGTCGCAATCAATTCAATGGTTATCTATGATTTTATGTATAAGGTTATCTATAGACTGTGTAGGCTGAATCAAAACTTTTTTGTGATATTCATATTCTAATTGCTTAGATAATTATAAAATGTCCGTATTCGCACAAACATGAATTTTTTTTTCGTCATGTATTTTTTTTGTTATTAGTGATTCTATTCTTCTAGTGGTATCAAGTGATTTGTCTAATTCTTGTTATGAAATAAAGTTATTCACGTTGTCATTTTCATGTTTTCGTCTTTTTACTTAAGAGAGTAAATTCAGCAATTCGTTTACGTGTAAATCATTGATTGAGCAATATTCCTGCGTTTTTCTTATTGACTCTTGTGTTTTTTTGAGGCGAAACGCAATTCGAATTAAAAGATTTTGTTGTACTTGCAAACTTTTTAAAGCGATTTCATTTGCAACTCCATATACTTTTACATCATTTTGATATATTGGTTGTACTAACTGCATGTATGTTCTAATGAGAACAGATGAGCTGAAAAACCGTCTTGTTTAATAAAAATTTGAAATGGTTCGATTGCAATTTTTATTTTTTTTTCAATCTGTTGGTTGAAGGTATCATTTTGATCCAAAATTAGTCCTAGGTATTTAACTGCTTTTTGTAGTTCTACCGTGTTTTGGTTCCAAATAAAACTTTCAAATTTTTTTTCCATTGATAATCTTTAAATGTGTTTTCCTTTGTTTGTTGTATTTTTTATTGCTTTTCCATCCACTCTGATAATAATTCTTTATCTGTTTTAGGTTCTTTTGTTTCGTTGAGTACTCCAAAAGTTGTCTTTAAATGTGTTTTTTCTTTGTTTGTTGTAATTTTTATTGCTTTTCCATCCGTTCTGATAATAATTCTTTATCTGTTTTAAGTTCTTTAGCTTCGTTGAGTACTCCAAAAGTAGTAGTGTCATGCACATAAAGAATACATTCACTGTGCTATTGTATGTTGGGAAGATCAAGGATAAATATAATAAAAAGCAAGGGACCATAATGAAGCCTCTCTGTTGTTGAACAACTGTTTGAATGAAAGACATACTGGTTTTTATTGCTGAGTTAGGATTTCAGTAAATTAAGATGAACACCTCCCAACCCGTAAAATTGACTGTTGTGAGTAAGTGTTTTGATCAACAGTATCGAAGGCCTTGGATAGATCTAAGTGTGCGCAGTGCGTCAGTTTAGCAGTATTTTTCGTTTCAATAAGAACCTCTAAAGTTTCCACAATAGCATCAGCTGTAGAGCGTTTGTTGCCAAATCCAAACTGTTTTTTTGCTTCAAACATCAAATTTTATTGGCTATTGGAAAAAATAATTATTCGTTTTGATAGTGGTTTTTCAAAAAATTTTTCCTATCAGAGGAACTAAAGAAATAGGCGTATAGTTGCTAGGATGTGAATTGTCTCCTTCTTTGAAAATAGAAATTACTCTTGCTGTTTTAAGACAACTTGGATAAACTGATTTGCTTCTTATCTGGTTATAAACACTGGTCAAATGAGTTCTTTTAATAGGATTCATTGATGTGGTTATTTGACAGATCCATGTCATATTCAGATTTTTTGTTGGGCAATTGCTTTTTGTGTCATAAACTTCCCTTCATCGATTTGTGACAGGAAGAAAAAATTTTTTTTCATTAGTTTTTGAACAATCACTCTTTTTTTAAAATTCAGATGACAACTCTGGACCGATTGTGACAAAATAGTCGTCCAACTCTTGTGCAATTATAAAACTTTGTTTGGTTTATGAACTTTTTTCTTCGGCCTTAACTTCTGCACATAACCAAGAAAGTTTTATTGGGTTGTTCAGTGTTTCGAAGAAGCGTAAAATTTCTAGAGTGCTGTGAAATTGCTGCTGCGGTAACTCAGTTTTTTATCAATACCAATTTCACCATCTTCAAACTCAATTTCGATTAGTTTTTTTATGTTAAGACCAGTTGAACTCAATTTTGAATTCCTCTTTTTGCAATTTTTCATAATGTCTACCGCAAAACTTTTCCTTTTCACAATTTTTATAAGTCCAATGTTAAAGTCACTTTCAACAGCACAATGATAATTGATTGCGTAACCAATAAATTTAGTGGTGCATGGAAACTTTGCAAAGGCCAAACCTATGGTTGTTCGAGAGTGCTATGTAACACATGTGCTGTCATTTTGTTCAGATATCAGATTAAAATCAAGCAGTTCCTTCAAGATTTTCTTCGGTTTATGAACTTTTTTATCGCCCTTATTTTCTTTCACATAACCAGAAAAGTTTTTATTGGTTTGTTCAGTGTTTCCAAAGAACAGCAAAAATCTTTTCTATTCGCCGATACCATTTTTTTGACTTTGACAGTTTGCTGTCTCAATTTTTACGTTGCCTCCAAAGTACCCTCGGTTTGATATGTTTTCAGTAATTTCTGTTTTTTAGCTTTCACATTTTTAATATCATTCGATATCCAGCTTTTTTTATTTCTCTTTCTTTTTGAAGAACTGTGCTTAGTTTAATTTTGGCCAAAAATATTAAGATTAGATATGTCCCTGAGCCAAGTTTCTGTTAGAGCAACAAAAAAGGCTTCAAGTTTTTTGGCTGATGCAGTTTATCCAATTTATCATAACTTGCCCCAAGAGAGCGGATGTTTTGTTGAAAAAGAATTTAGGTTTTAAAATGATTTGAATCTTTGGTCGATTTACCAGAACTGCTGTTTGTTATTGTTTTACAATCTTTGTCGCAAAAAGTTGTAAATATTTAATGTGCAAAAAGCGTCTTATATGCTTGTCTGTATGTTCAGAACTGCATGAGATAATTTTTTCTGTTTTTATTTTAGATTTACAATTCAAACTTCACTATCGGACGGCAAAAGTGAAAAGGTCACAAAAAATGTGAATTTCCTCTAGTTTCAAAAATGGATTATTTTCTCAAATGGGATAATTTTACGAAAAAAGTGCTAACCATAAATAGTGTTTGCAATTCAAAAAGCTTTCGCGGGACGTTTTTTTTTGCTCTTTTACACTTTTCCAACTGTCTGTTTTCCAACCAGTTTCCAAATGCTTTATAGTTTTTTTTTTGTAATTTTCGAGGTTATCGACGCAGACACTATTGCAAAGAACACGGAAATGAATCAAGCCCGCCTGGTTCCAAATGACAGCGGATTTCCGAATGACGAGCAGTTCAGAGTGGAATACGATGCCGTCAGAAACATGGTGCTAATTCGAAACAACGTACCCCTTCTGTTCACTGATCTTCAGCTGAATCCTGGCGAGCAACTTAAAGTCAAAGTCGCGTTGCTCCAAGATAATTTTGATAGAGATACAGCTGAGTTTACCTTCACTCTGATCGACTGGAACAACCACGAGCCGGTGGTTTCAGTTGTGACACCGACTACTTTGCCCGTACAGTTGACAGAAGGAGCGTCTTTTGACAGTTCCCTTTCAATTGCAACAGTGGAGGCAGCCGATGATGACTTAAAAGAAGAAGGTTTCAATGATGAACTGAAGTAAGATTCAAATTAGTCATGCTTTGTCTCGACAGGTCTTTATTATCGTGTTCTTATTGTGTTAAAACTTATTGTGTTCAAAAAATGGTCACTAATTATTTTTTCAGTTCATCTTAATTAAGGAGTGTTAACATTCGTGACAAAGTGTCAATGGAGGTCAAATTCAAATTATTAACTGGATCCTTGCCATGAATCATTACAGTTTTTTTTTACTAATCTAGCCGTTAATAAATTGTTATAAAAAACATGTTAATAAGTTTTGGTTTTTCAAAAATTGGTAACGCTGTTAAGCAGTGTTTGTCGCGTTTTAAAATGACAGAAAACAAAACTCACAGAAACTTCATAAAATGGCGAGAATTAATTTAGACGTTTTTAATTGGTCCTGTTCATCTACTTAACCCGTTTTCCAAGCTTGTATAAATGTTTTCAGTCAGCGTAGAATTCGTCGATCTGCTAGCTCAAACCTGAAGCTGTACAGGTAAATAAAAAAATGGTAAAGGCGAGTTGTTCGTGCTGTTTGCTTATCGGTTGGGTATTTGTAGCACAAGCTGTATATTGTACATAAATCACAAAATTGAATCAAAGTTACTCATGAAACACTAGATAGTTTTTGGTCCATCGTCCCATTTTATCAAAGTTTTTGTGCACGTGCACTCCCAGATCCAGGTCATCTTGAAAACTTTGTCAAGATCTTAAAAAACTTTGAAGATTTATCAAAGAGTCGAAAAATTATGACAAACCAGTATGATGGCACTGCAACTCACCAAGCAAATTAGAAGTTTTTTGAAAGAAGGATGCTTTTAAAGACAAAAATGCAAGGATACAAGATTTTGTTTGTAATTATGCATTCACAAGTTTCATTTACAAGACAGGATGTGAACAATATCCCCCCCGAATAGACCAAGTGAACAATCGCCCCCTTAAAATTAAATGGCAAATTCAAGCAATAAGGCCTGCATGTACTATGCTCAAATCTGATTGACCAAGTGCTCAAATCTGTGAACGATCTCCTCCCTAATTTGATTTTGGGGGGAGATTATTCGCTTGGTCCCATAGGTGGTCCCAACTTTAATCTGATTTATTATAAAATTGGATGTTTTGATTGTTGGGAACGTGTTTCCAGAAAAGTTTCTTGCGACACAACTTGAGACGTTTTTTTTTTGCTTTTTGTTCCGACTTTCGAATGAAATGACGGAATATTTGGGCTATTTTTCCTTGTCCCCTCCACCTCACTCAAACATGAATTTTGTGGTCTAACGTAACGAGTGGTTTTACAAGGTTAATTATGAGGACCACTCGTATCTAACGTAACAAGTGGTTTTACAAGGTCAATTATGAAGAATATGTTTGTCATGGTCTAATTAGTCTGCATGCAAATTTTCATGAAAAATCGGACTAAGTGAACGGTAACTTCAAATATAAAAATTTGCAGGTGGGGGGGGGGGGGAGAGCCAATATTTCTATTATTAAGAGTAATGCACGTAGTGATGACTCTTATGTATGTCTTGCTGATGTTTTTATTGTTTTTTTTCAGGAAAAAGTCTTAAAATGTGTTCACGCTCAATTTTGATTTTTCTCGGTTTGACTTTTGATTTCGTTTTAAGTTCAACACATTTCCATTCTTAAAAAGAAGGCAAACTCCACTATCGAACAGCAAAAGTGTAAAAGTCACGAAAAACATGATCAACTTCTAATTTTGAAAATGGAAATTAATTATCAGATTTCCCAGCGAAATAAAAGTTATGTGGGTTTAAAGATTGCCAATTTGGGACAATTAACGCGCGATATACTTCGTGCTATCGACGCGTAAGCGGAGATTTAATCCGTATTAGAAATCATTGCAAATAGAAGCCAGCTTTTTTTTGGTCTGTTTAATACTTTGCCATTTGCAGCATTAATCACTTTGTATTTTACATAGCGCGTGGGTGGATGATTTTCAAAAAAAAGATTTCATCAATCATTTGATCAATTATTTCATCAATTTTTTTCTACGTTAAATTAATCTATAGATAAAAATACGCAGTCGAAATTTTCTGGGCTTTATCTTGATACGAGAAGACTTGTTATTCCGACTTTCGTAACGAAAGTAACGGAATATTTGTGCTCGGAGTGGTTTTTTTCTTCAGACAAAATTCGACTTTTTAACTAGCCATTTTTTGATTGAGTTTTTTTTATATCACTCAAAAGATACTGTTTTCTTGATCTTCGATTGGAAAAGATATTTCACCTACTCAATTTTTGTAAAGTTATGGGAGTTTAAAGATTGCCATTTCGGCCACTTTGAAACAATTAACGCGCGATATATTTCGCGCTATTAACGCGTAAGTGGAGATTTAATCCGTCTTAGAAATCGCTCCAAATTAGTTGAAGGAAGCAGCCTACTTGCCAAAATTGATTTGTTACTAGTAGCGAAATCAATCACTTTGTACTTTATATGGCGTGCGGGGGATGATTTTCAAAAAAATCCGCATTTTTTTTATTTGATTTCATTACATTTAATTTTTCCTGTTAATACTGCTCCAGAGATCTTAAAAAGCAGTCGGAGCAATCAAGGCATCGCCTTGATTCGAATTTTGTTTCTTGAAACCTATTCTTCAATTTGCCGACAAAAAACAGGTTGCATCAACCGTACAATGCAATGTATTAATTCTGCCATTGATTCTATATAAGTTATTCATTCCAAACATGCGCGCAGAATATACTACTTGAGATTTTTTTTATACAACACAGCTATTTTATTCTATTAATAACTTAATAAAAAAACTAATAGTAATAAATTATGATTAGTTTTTTAAGTTAATTTAACTTTGTTTTTTTTTTAAATTTTTTAAATTAATTAGATCAATTTATTTTGCCCTCGAACGTTGACTTCTGAAAATCCTGTGTTTTGTCTACCCTTAATAGAGTTGGGGGAAAATTGTGCGGTTGAGCCAACAGACTTTATCAAGAATGAATGTTTTGTAGAACAGAAGGTTCCGACGTTATTTTTAAAAAGATTGTTTTCAAAAAACGCGTGTCGTTTGAATGCGCGTGGTATGGGAAGAGAAAACTAAAATGTCTCATAGCATAAAATATGGCTTAAATTTTTAAACAGCTCAACAGTAAAAATAAGTAACAAAAACGAAAACTATGTTTTTTTTTTCAAATAAAAATTCATTGAACATTTCTAATTTTTTTCAAATTCTTTTTTTCTGCGTTTTCGAAACCAAAAAAAATGCTATTTAAAATTTCAAAGCTACTTTTTGATAGATAAACCAAGCTTTTTGCAGCTTAATTAACTGCTTTCTGGTCTTCTCACTCTAAATTGGATTGAAAAGCTATATTCTCAATCTCAAACTTATTTTTTAAGCATAGATTGGATCACAATTGAAAGGAGCTTAGTGAGGTCATCCGCTCCACCCCATCTCAGATTTATTTTTGGTTTTATTTGGCATAGAAAAATTGGAGAAAAAAATTTTTAATAAAGAAAATGAAAAACACCTGGGTAACAAATTCTTCCCCACTCTCAGTGATCGCAACAGTTAATTGGTCTGTTCCTAGAACTGTTTGGTTGAAAATGTTTGAACGATTTAAAATTAAGTTCAAAATGATGTTTTATGCATGCTACTGTTATAAATGCCCTCATTACTGAAGCTATTATTAGACTCAGTCGCTCTTAATGTTTTAATTTAAATATCTGTTTCAGTTGGTTCATTCTTTGGAGCTCGGATCCGAGAGTTCGATTTGAAATTAAACCCGATGAAGTTGACCCAACAAGAGCCCAAGTGTATCAGATACAAGCACTCGACAACGAGATATCAACTGAGCAGAGCTTCACTCTTCAAGCATGTGCTGAAGACAACCCACGAGAAAGCTACAAACCCAAGTTATACGGATGCGTAGATATCCCTATTCAAACTCTCAATACGAATAACAAATGTCCGGTATTTCAACCTTATCCTTTAGTGACGGTACCCGAAAACAGAAATGCAGCTGTAAATTTGTTGGACACTCAATCTGTTTTGGATTTTGACCAGCAAGCTATAGCATCAGTGGACGCAAGCGTCACGTAAGCTAACCATGATTTTTTTTAAAAATTACTCAAGGATTCTTTTTGTATAGACTAGACGAGACTATTTGTATATCAGGGCAAAGCCCTGAGTATTCCGACTTCCCTTTCGTAGTTTTAGTTTTATTAAATTTTTTTTGATAAACCAACATTTGGACAGTATATACTCAAGCGGATCGTAGTTTGATACTACAGGCTACTTTTTTCCAATATCAGTCGCAAATATTACCTTGGTGGCACTTTGGCAGATGGCTGAAGTGGCTCAATAATAACATGCTCGCTGCCATCAATAAGTTGACACAGTTGATGCATTTTTAATTCATCAAATGAACCGAAGAAAGCTATTTCTTTCATACAACAGTCAATAATAATTTTTTAAATAGTCGATGAACTTAGTTCAGCCGCTTATATAGATCATGATTTTTTCCGTCTCTTTTAAGGAAATGTCTTAAATTTTTTCATGCTCAAACGTCCTTTTTTGCTGTTTAAGTTTTGATTTTTTTAAAGTTCAGTTCATTTTTTTGTTACAAGTAAGGCAAACTCCAATATTAAATAGCAAAAGTGCAAAGTTCTGGAAAAGATCGACTTCTATTTTTGAAAATGGATTTGAGTTATCAAATGCTCCAGCTAAAAAAAAAACAAAATTACCTAGTTATCCATTTTTTTCAAATTGGGTTAATTTTATCAAAAACGTGTAAATCATAAATTGTTCTAGAAATTCTAAGAACTACTAAAACCATCTATTTTTTTCTTCGAGAATCGAAAATTGGGATTTTCTCAAAAAGCAAGTCCGTTTTTTTTTGCGTTCATTGACTCTTTTCCAACTGACTGTTGGCTATGCTCAGATTTTTGTTATATTTTGGGCAACTATGCACAATTTGGTTTTTTTATTTTGCAACTTTTCACAGCAAAACTTTGTTCATATTGGAGCTCCCGTTTGCCATTTTCTTGTTTGTCTTTCTTGCTATATTTGGGCATGATTTCTATAGTGTTTGCAAAGTTCACCTCTGTGTGAAAGTTGAGTCGTATAAAATAGTAATAAGAAAAATTAGCTTAATTTTAATTCGTAACAGAAATTAATCTGAAGAAAAATCACCCCAAGCATTAGATATTCTCACTTTCTTCGAAAGTCGGAACTTCGATAAGTTCGGTTTCCCTTTTAATAATTTTGAATTTTCACCATTGAAATTTTTTAAACTAATGTTAAGGCAAAAAAAGTCTTTTTTTTTCAGGAAAGATGATTGAAATTTTTCACGCTCAAATTTGATTTTTTCGTGGTTTAAATTGCGACTTTTGAAAGTTTAATTCAAAATGATCTGCTAAAAGAAAGCACATTCTACTCTCTAGTATTCAAAAGTTTCAATGGCGCAAAAGAAATTTCATTTTTTGAATTGTTATACTGAAATCATTGTGGTCTAAACATACTGTGCTAGTTTCATAGCTATGTGACATCTTAATTGTTCAGAATCATGCGGAATAATTATGCTTGGGGAGTTTTTTTCATTTAGTTATTTTTCGGCGATCGAATTTTTTTCAAACAAAATTTTTTAATATCCCATTAAAAATATCGATTCATGGACTTCCATTAACCAAAATGTTTTTAATATCCCAGTAAAGATATCGATTCCTGGACTTCAATAATGAAAAATATTTTTCTTTCGATTAGTTTTTTGTGTTAAGTTATGGTGGTAGTGCACTATGAAAATGAGTTGAGGTAAGCGTAAAGGTATTGAATTATTTTCGAACTGTTCAAATTTTCACACGTGTTCGATGATGTCCAAAATGTATGGTTTGTAATGTTATCTTTAGCAACAGCTATTCGAGTTCCATGCATTTGGTAACTCATAATGATCACCCAGACCAAAAGCAAACAAAATTATCTTTTTTTTTTCGAAATTGTATAGAACAATTTTCACTTGATCAATAGGCTGCGTGCTATTTATACATCGTGTTTGACTATATTAAGCCTTCTGTTGTGTTTTGCCGTTTTTGATCGAAGTTGATGGCTCAAGTGATCTTTTGTTATCCTTAGCGTGGTGTCGCTGGACTTCACTGTGTTCGCTTTCTCCAATGGGATCCTGCGCAAACCACTGGGAGTCAGTCTAAACAGGGAAGCACAGGAGTTCTATAATGTTATTTTCCGAGTGTGCGACGGACAAAACAATTGTTGTGATCAGACTGTACATATCAGAGTGACTGACGAGAATGACAACGGACAGAGTGATGGGGGAGTATCTATTGTGGATGTGTTTTACTTGGAAGGTGAGGATTTTTTTTTAAAATGACTCTTCAAACAAGTTTTGTTCAGCTGAGGAACTTTTTTTAGGTATAAAATGAATGAAAAGGTTTGAGTTTTGACGCTAATTATTCCGTCTCAACACGAAAACTTTGTCAACGTTTTTTTTTGCGATCTGAAAACTGCCAGAAATTACTTAAAAGAGTTATCTCACAGCTGTTTTTCGGTCTATCTGAGTAAGTACATTTTGGCCTATCTCAATAAGAGCTCGGTTACATAGCTTGTCTTGTTGTTCCAACTTTCGATACGAAAGTAACGGAATATTTGTGCTCGGGGTGGGTTTTTTCTTCAGACAAATTTGACTTTTTAACTAGCCATTTTTCACGCAACCTTTTTATATCATTCGAAAGGGATTGTTGTGCTGAGCTCAAATTTGAAAAGATATTTCACCTGTGATCATTTTTCGTAGAGTTACAGGGGTTTAAAGGTTGCCGTTTTGGCCAATTCGGGACAATTAACGCGTTGTATATTTCGCGCTATTAACGCGTAAGCGGAGATTTAATCCGTCTTAGAAATCGTTCCAAATTGTTTAAAAGAAGCTTATTGAGTTAGGACCGAAGTGTATAACTCATAGAGTAATTTCGGATAGGGTACACCGTCTGCTCGTCACGCTATCTTATTTTCGGCCGGATAGATTCGTGCAACTTCTTAGTCTAATACCAATCCTAATCTTACTCTTATACTATCTAGTCTCAGGTTGTTTAACTAGTCTCTGCTAGGCTCAATAGATCTAGGGTATACTGGTTTATTGCGGTTGCTGAAGTCTTCTTGGAGAGTCAACTAATTTCTAAGTTAAATTCAAATCTCTCTGGTGCTGAAATTACAAGTAATTTCAGCACTTACAAATAAGTGGATTGTTAGTTAGATGGATCATGATTGGTTAATATCAAATACTTTACATTGGTAAAATATCTAATTTATCCAATCATAAAATGTAGTTTAGATCAGGTTCCACCCATCCGGGTTTTACAGAGTTTTTTAGAATAGTTTTTCTGCAATTCGAAGGATGGATGATGGACGTTGGTTTCTGGCGAACATCATATTTCTTCTGGGTTCTCTTGTTAGAGAAGTTCCAGGTTCGATCGTTGTGTCATCTCATGACAACGACTGGGTCTTTGCAACAAACTCAAATCTGATTTCAGAATGGTTGGCTATGTCAGGTTTTTCTGTTTCATTGATGAGAACTTCTTTGTGTTTTGATCTTGTCTAGGAATGACGTGGAGATTGTGCGTGGAGGGGATGCCTGGTTACTCGGATCTGTACGTATACTTGAACATCGAGGTGGTCATTGGTCTAGTTCAATGAAGTCCTTTTCTGCGAAGTCAAGTCGTACTCTAAATCCTTTGAGTTGTGATTGTGAGCGACATATTGATTGTAGTTGGCCATTCTTTCTCGAGTGTAGTGGGGTCGTTTTGTCTTTGGATGTTCGTCCTTGGTGTTGTATTCTGATCTATGTATTGCATAATGTAATTTACATTTTATAAAACTTTTATTAGTTTTTAATATTTTTTAATTATGATTTTAGTTAGTTGTTTTCACAAAAGCTTTTTGTTTTAGTTCAGTTATTTTGAAGAGTTACTCACCCTTGAGTAGCTCTTATTAAAAATAGGAGTGTGGTCACAAAGCGTGGATGTAGCACGGTGGGTTAGGCCGGCTATAGAGCATGCTCAGGACGTCCTCTTCTGGTGGGTTAGGCCAGGAGTGGGAGTATGATTGCATGCGGTTTTTGTGAGAGGTCCTGTTATGTGACAACGTTTTATGTTGGGTTTGTTGTGGTTTTTCTTATGTTTTGTTGGTTGTGTCCTTTTTTCAAAAGTTAAATTGTTTGTGGTATGGGTTTGTCTTTCGACATTTTTGTGTTTTATTATTTCTTTCTTAGACTTTATAATAGTCTTCAAAAGAATAAATTATCCAGTTTTAAACTGGGTTAATCCGGTTTGGGTACCGTTGGTTTCCTTTTCTTAGTCATGCTGTTATGCTATGTGTTGTGGTGTTTAGTAAGCTGCATTGGTTAGTTTTGTTTAGTATATAATTCCTTTCCAACCGGGTTAAAGGAAAGTTTGAAACTTGTTATCGTGTGTTAGAGTTTTTGAGTGTGAAAGCTTGAAACTGAAATTCATTATTTTAAACAATTCTTCGTGGGCGAGCTGTGCGAATGTGGATAGAATCTTTGTGCGAACGAATTGAAATATCAAAAGGTTAGTACTGCATTTGATTCTTATTAATTTACTACATAGAATTTCAATTTTACGGCTAGTTGTTGGGGAAAATGAAGTTACAAATTTTCATCATTAGTAGATTTACTGCATTTGGGAAAAAATTTATAAATTAATTTACTGCATTGGTATTAAATTTATTTAATTATTTGGTGCAAAAAATTAATAGAGTTTTAAACAGTTTTTGAAGAAGTTTGCTATCTTTTATTTTTCTTTTGTGAATTTTTCAGATGATCGTTGGATGAAGGCTAAAATGCTAAATAAGACGTGGATAAAGAATGGTGAGTTTCTAATATTTTAATTAGTTAGTTATATCTATAATTCATACTTACCTGTTAGTCGTCGGGGAAGAAACCGTGGGGGAAGATGTCGTGGATGAGATCGGAAGTTGTCAGTAGTTTAGCTAAGATGCGGATGATATTTTTAGTTTGAAGAAGTGGCAAAAGCAATTGAAGTGCTTTAATGGTGGTTAGTTCTTCAGTGCCAACTGCAAACTCATAAGGTGTGTTTTGGATTAGATTATATAATTTGTGATTGAATTTAGTGTTGTGGATGAATTCTAAAATGGGGATTTCTATAGGTTGAACAAATTCGTGTGGGATAAGGAAGGGTCGGGATTCTTCTGCATTGAAGGTCTTGGTGATTGGACAAAAAATATACATTTGGGTTATGGGATCATAATTTCGAAGAATACCATGAAGGTTAGTCTCTTTAATGCAATATGTGAAGTTAAGAAAGAATGGTGAGGTGTATTTGGAATTGATGAATTGAAAACGATGGTGTGGTTGTCTGGAGGGAGTGTGTAGATCGAAGTGATTTTGGATGAAACGATAATATGTATATGTGTGTGTTTGTTTAGTGCGCAACATAATATCGTGTGAGCAGTGCAAATCTCTTTCATGTGGTGCAAGGAAATGAAAGGTTAGTGAAAATGTTTGGAAGCGTTCTTTAAAACTTTCGTATGCTTGTGTGTCTGTTAGTGCTTCTAAAATAATGTGGTCAAACTTGCGATCGAAGATATTTAGTGTAAATACATATGGTGTTTTAATGAAAAATTTCTCGGTGATCTGTGGGTTAGCGAAGCGATCGTCGTCTAAGAATTGATCTTGGTTAGCTCTGATGATGTTATGATCGTAATATTCTAGTGTATATTCATTAGCTCGGGGTGCAGTGTGTGTTTTTAGTGATTTTTTATATCCAATGTAGGTAAATTGTCTAGATGTTAGTGGTGTGGTGAGTCGATATAGCATGTTTTTATTTCGTTCTATATCGATGTGAGTGTTAGATAAGGGTAAGCAAAGGGGATTAGTAAAATGATAATATGAGGTCCAAGAAAGAGTAGGCATTAAAACGTATTCGTCTACAAAGTTACGTGTCTCGTTAGTGTCGTGAGGGGTGTTTAAGGTGTATTGTGGAAATGAGGGTAAGGTGATAGCTAAAAATTCTTTTGTATTAGTGTGATTTGGGTGATTTATATATTCACGGGCTGTTCCTGGTTTTGCTGGGAAAGGATGGTTGGGGAACTTTCTTTTAAAAGTGCGGTAAGCTCTATTAGTGCTGAGTGAAGATTCAGTAGATGTGGATGATGGTGCTAATGATTCGGTATAAAATGAAGAGGGTGTAGGGGTAGGAGGGTTGGATGAATCTATTGTGGATGAAATGTGGTTTATGGTGGGGGTGTCAAGGTGGTAGGGTTGTTGTTGTAATGTAATAAAATTATCTAGTTCTGGGGAGATTTGGGGGGTATCTGGAGAATTGGATGATCGGTCTGATTGATATGAAGAATAGGTTGGAGTGACTTGGGAAGCATAAGAGGATGTAGAATTGGTGGGGACAGGGTTATTTGGTGTCATTGGTTGAAAAGGGGGTTGGGAAAAAATTGAGGGGTTGGTGGGAAAATTATTGGATGGAGATGGTTCAGAGTCGGCAAATTCATCGGGGGTTTCAATATTCGGGTTATTGAGTTGTGATGTGGAGTATAAAACTGAGATGTGTGAATTAGTATCGGAATTCATGCCTGATGTTACATTACTGGTTGGAAAATCGGGTGGCGGGAAAGCAAAAAGTGGTATTATTGTAATGGGAGTAGTGAGGTTGGTTGGGTGGGAATTTGAACGGTGTAGGGATCCAAGTTGTCGGCTCATCGTGGGCTAAAAAAATTATTATTTTGAGACTGAAAAGCGGTGGTATGGGGTTGTTCTATAATTTGTTCATAAGTATTATCATCGTGTGATTGGTGTGTCATTATATGTTGGATGGGACTTTGTGATATGGTTGGTCGAAAATTTTGATTATGTGTTATGGCTAAATTTCGAAAATTACGTGGGACTAGGGATAATGGATGGTTATGTGGCAGGGGTGGTAACTGTGGTGCTGTTGGCGTTGTGTCTACATTGTTATGTTCTTCGTCGTATGTGTTCTGTCTTGTAGCTATTTTTGTGTTGTATTCTTTTATTTGTGCATCTAAAAGAATTTTGTTTATTGATGTAGAAAAAATTCCAAAAAATCCTGCAAATAGTATGCGTGCTACGCTTGCTTGTCTGTTTACTTGTGTGTGTATAGCACATGTGTTGTAGATTCCTTTTAAAAGTGAAAAAAGAAATCCAATAAAGTTAAACATTGCGTATAAAATAGTCAATTTTTCTAAGATGTAGTAGGGCCATCCTAGAAAATCAAGAATTTCATTTTTGAGTGTTACAAAGCTAAAAATATTGATGGGTGATATATCTTGGGGACGGTATTTTTCACCG